CAAGAGGTAGAATTTCATGATTAAGAGGATGGGCACTGGAGCAAAGCCTACATATGAATCCCAGCTCTGTCCCTTCATTCCCTGCATATCCTTCAATTTAGCTTAACTTTTATATCTCTATTTCCTCACTTAGGAAATGAAAACAACAATGGTATCAGCCTTATAATAGAGCTGTTGGAGGGATTTAATTAATATATTTTAAAATGCTTAAATAATGCCTGGTCTAGTAGTGAGAACACCATACATGCTAGATATCAAAGTCAATATTTAGTCGCAAAAGTCAACTTTTAATAATATGTCCTTAAGTCAATGACTAGTCAAGTGATACTCTTCAATACCTAATAATCAGAAATGGAAGCCCTGGGGCATTCTGTCATCTAAGATCAAAGATAAAATTACATTTAGGATGCTCAAGGCCAGAACTGTCCAATAGAACTTTCTGCAACAGGGCAGCCCCGGTGGAGCAGCGGTTTAGCACGGCCTACAGCCCGGGGTGTGATCCTGGAAACACGGGATCAAGTCCCACGTCGGGCTCCCTGCATGGAGCCTGCTTCTCCCTCTGCCTGTGTCTCCCCCCCCACAATAAATAAATAAATCTTAAAAAAAAAAAAAAAAAGAACTTTCTGCAACAATGAAAATGTATGTGTGCTATCCAGTATGATAGCCACTAGCCATGTGTAGCTACTGGGTAATTAAAATGTAGTGTAACTAAAAAACTGATTTTTTGTTTTTATTTTTATTTAATTTAAATAGTCACATGAGGCTAATGACTACTGTATCAGACAATAAAGCTTTACAATATAAGCCAGAAAAATTCAAAATATGATTTAGAAAAGTCTCTATAATTGTCAAAATTGAGAGGGTTTCTCATTACTCTTTATTTAATTGGAATATGCCACACCTAAACACGCAAATTAATAGATTCTATCAATTCCCCCAAAAAGCTTGATAAACATGGTAACAAGGATAAACAATGGCTATTTTTGCCACTGTGTGGGAGAGACCTAATAGCGTAAAATTATAAATATAATAAACATATAATATTCAATGTCAGCAACATCCTTAGCCTCAAGGCCTGCTGCAAACTTGAACACTACTGGCAGTTACTTTAGAATCTAAGAATTCAGAGCAAATAGAGGAAATCTCCCATGTTCTTGAGCTAACAGCAAAGGATACAAATCTGTCCTCTTTTATTCTAAAAATAATGATCCCTTTTGCTTTCTACTATTGAAAAAGAGAAAAGAAAAAATACGCCAGGTGACTTATGTATATATTTAATCCCATGAATCTAACAGACCAGTGAGATAAGCATTAACAACCCAGTTACCGCAAAATTGGGAAAACTGAAATAACTTTCCAAGATCATATGGGTTATTTGTGGCAGAAACTTAAGCCTATATTTACCTAATTCTAAGACGATATACCAGAGCTGCCTTATTAATACCAAGCCTGTTACTAGAAATAAGGCAATAAGAGGTCTTAAAATAAATCCACCCTTTTCTGGTCATTCTAAATAGTAAGGTCATCAATATCAAGAGAAGAGAAATGAGGAAACAGATGGACAGGAAATTTATCTGGGACACTAACACATGAGGTTCTCCTGTGCTAAAATATCCGTATGTGTTTCCTAGTATATCCTAAACAGACAGATTGGATCAATAATAAAAGGCATCTTTAAGGGAGAAGCATAAAAGGGTACCCTGGGTGGCTCAGTCAATTCAACGGCCAACTCTTGATTTTGACAGGGTCATGATCTCAGGGTCGTGGGATGGAGCCCAATGTTGGGCTCTGTGTTCAGTGGAGAGTCTGCCTGAGGATTCCCTCCCCCTCTCTGCCCCTCCCCCAGGTCACAAAGGCAAGTACGCACACACTCTCTAAAATAAATAATTTTTAAGGGAGAAGCCTAACAAAAAGGAAAAAGTGCAAAAATTCAGGTAAAAATATGAAAAAAAAAAAAGAAAAAACGAGATCTCAGGTAGAAGGTGGTGTCACCAGAAACTACTTATAGTGCTACTGATAACCACCAGCGTCCCAGGATTTATATACATGGGAACTGTAAAATCAATCCTCTATGCAGAAATACATAAAGGGCCTCAACTAAACAAGTCTAAAGAAACATCAAATTTTATTTTGCTTTAATCAAACCAAATTATAATAATCTATTGTTACAACGTGCAAAAGAAGTAGGTTATATACACATATGTGTTTACTTGTCTACATAAAGCAAATGTCAAGGAAAGTTTCTACTTTTTTGGTAAGCTTTTGTTCTTACTCTGTACTTAGAAATAAAATATACAGGTACATCTCAGGACTCAAATCTATACTTTTTTTTCAAAAGATTTTATTTATTTATTAATGAGACACAGAGAGAGAGAGAGAGGCAGAGACACAGGCAGAGGGAGAAGCAGGCTCCATGCAGAGGGCCCGACGTGGGACTCGATCCAGGGTCTCCAGATCACGCCCTGGGCTGCAGGCGGCGCTAAACCACTGCGCCACCGGGGCTGCCCATTCCTTCCAATTCTATAATTCTACCAAGCACAGAAGCTGGATATACATTATTCCTAACCCAATGTCACATATAGGCTTAAACCTACACATAAATACTCAAAGAGGTTTAAAATCTCAATGACTTTAGTATAGGATTATTTCAGCATATCTCACAACTAAAATATCTTTAAGAAAGTCTAATCAGTAGATCAAAGTCTCCAAAATATCCCAAAATAACCATATTCAAAGTTTTAAATATTAAAAAGGGGATGGGGGTAAAATGACTCCTCCCATCATTCTGAGCACTATTAAGTCAATTAGTCCCAAAGCAGCTTTGGAAATCAAAGAAATGATGATAGGGGCACCTGGGTGGCTCAGTGGTTGAGTGTCTGCCTTTGGCTCAGGGCATGACACCAGGGTCCTGGGATCGAGTCCCACTTTGGGTTCCCTGCGAGGAGCCTGCTTCTCCCTCTGCCATGACTCTGCCTCTCTTTATGTCTCTTATGAATAAAGAAATTTTAAAATCTTAAAAAAAAAAAAAAAAGAAATGATGATAGTCTTTTTTTAAAAGGTTCTTTTCAGAGCTATATAGGTGTCCCTCATTTGGAGGTACGGACAGAGGACACATACACTCTAGCAAAGTAGAAAAGCAACCTCTCCATCTATTTCCATGATAAGCTGGAGATGCATTCTCAAGGAAAGAAGTGCCATAATGGCAGAGTAAAGCTTTTCTACTGAAGCAAAGGATAGCCAGCGTTGGCCTGCTGAAAGTTCAAGTACATAAAAATGCAAATTCAGGGGCACCTAAGTGGCTGAGTAGGCTAAGCGGTTAAGTGTCAGCCTTCAGCTCAGGTCATGATCCCAGGGTCCTGGGATTAAGCCCCGTGTCAGGCTCCCTGCTCAGTGGGGAGCCTGCTTCTCCCACTCCCTTTGCCCCGGCCCCTGCTCTCTCACTTGCTCTGCCAAATATACAGGAAATCTTTTTTAAAAATGCAAATTCATTTTTCTTCTGTGGCATTCTAGACCACCAGAATTGCTTTCAAGCCTTAGGATTCCCTAACTTCACATTCATAGCTCTAACAGCTTTTTATCTCTCCTCTCTCTCCTTCTGCCCTCCAAAACTGGGCATTCCCAACTCTCTTCATCACTTACTCTGTTCTAGCCATGCTGACTTCATCAGTCTTCCAAAACACAAGGCAAGTCTCAAGCCTATCAGTTCCTGGATTCCCTCTGCCTGGAATGCTCATATTCCATATACCCCAAATGGAAGAATCCATCACTCTTTCAGGTTTTCAAACATCACATTTTCAGTAAAGCTTTCCTTGACTAAAATGACACACAACCCTAATACTTCCTATTCCCCTTCACTATTTTTTCACTTAGCCCTCATCACTGTCACTAACATGCTTCTTGTGCTTGCTCTGGCACTATATATACTAACAGATATTTCTTGTTTATTAATTATCCCCTCACCAGAATGCAGCTCCATGATTATAGGATTTTTATCTGTTATGTTCACTGCTATAGTCAGCATTTAGAATAGTGCCCAACGACATACCCAGGTGCTCAATATACCAAATGAATACATGATACTGCTCTAGCAGTTACTTGTAACCAGGACATGCTACCATTAACAATTCACATTCTAGTCTGAAAGATTTCAATTAACAGATTTAGGTTATTTTTTCAAACTGTGCTCTGGGAACTGCAACAATACCTCAGGGGCAATTGTGAGGGTAGAACATGAAAACCTAATACAAGCAAAAAGTCCTGTATGCTTTTATTCACAGGATTTCACATAAGATTTAATTTGTAAAAAGGATTTAGCAACTTCAAAAAACCTAAGACTACTGGATTATATACAATTTAGTTTCTACTTAAGCTTTACTTATTTACTATAAGTAAGGATAATCTCGGTATATTTATATCATGATTTAGAAAGAGATAAAAATAGATAAAACTAGTCTTATTTAATCTGCTACAAAAGCAATCAAACTCTACTGTGTACTTTCTAATTAAAACAAGTAGAGGGGATCCCTGGGTGGCGCAGCGGTTTAGCGCCTGCCTTTGGCCCAGGGCGCGATCCTGGAGACCCGGGATCGAATCCCACGTCAGGCTCCCGGTGCATGGAGCCTGCTTCTCCCTCTGCCTGTGTCTCTGCCTCTCTCTCTCTATCTGTGTGACTGTCATAAATAAATAAAAATAAAAAATATAAAAAAAAAATATTAACAAAAACAAGTAGAAAGCAGAATAGTTTTTTAAAAAAGAAGTATAAAAATTTTGTTATTCCATGTTTAAGAACATACGTAAATTAAGTAGTTGGAAATTAAAATCCAAATCCCATTACTACAAATATCTCCATACACAAAAATATCTCCCAACCCATCAAATAGCACTGTCTGACAAAACAATATTTTATCACGAACCTTACCTTGAAATTCATTCTAATATGACCTGACCAGTTGAACTTTTAAAATGTTACACATTCCAGTAAGGAAAAGAAGAGCACTCACCTTAATGAAGTTACAGATGGACAAGCCTGTCCATACAAACCCATCTGGCCACAAAGAGAATCTGAAAAGTAAAGAAAAGTTAGTTATCAGAAGCTCCAAAGTATATTAAACTATAAATAAGATTCATTTCTAATTAAAACACTCTGAAAACAAATAGAAGGCTAAAATGTTCAACTCTACCTGAACATATACCTTTATGAATCAAAAATGCTATTAAACAATGAGAGGAATTATACTGAAGAGAGACATACCAGGAAGCATAAGAAAAACACACTATAATTGTAACATCCAAAGGAGCTGAAAACATAAAATTCAACAACTTGTTATGCTAAATATTATACGGAGAGTATAATAATGAGTATGCAGGTTCCCATCCTCACATAATTGTCCCCTATGCCATCTACTCTTCAATCAAAACAGTGTTATCTTTATTGATTTCTTTTATACTGGACTTAAGACTTCACCTGAAGAAAGAACAGTTCCATCACTTAAAGTTAAAAATAGCACTCTAACAGGAGTTTTGAATAAGAAACTCTAGGTTCAAAATCAACTATGGGGGTCCCTGGGTGGCTCAGCGGTTTAGCGCCTGCCTTTGGCCCAAGGAGTGATCCTGGAGTCCCAGGATCAAGTCCCGCATCGGGCTCCCTGCATGGAGCATGCTTCTCCCTCTGCCTCCCTCTCCTGTGTCTCTGTCTCTGTCTCTGTGTCTCTCTCTCTCTCATGAATAAATAAAGTCTTAAAAAAAAATTAACTATGACACTAAAAGACCTTAAAGAATTTATGTAACCTCACTGAACCTAAGATTCTTCATCTGCAACTTGGGAATAAATACTGCCTATATAATTCTATTTACTCATCAGGGATAAATTCCAGGTTTGTTGTTAGAATTAAAATCAATGAACAAATGTAAAATTGTCTATTAGTACTACTACCGGGCACAAGGATGATCCACAAATGTCTACAGGTAACATGAATGAGAGAACCTGGAATGGACATAAACATATGTATACACTGCACAAATAGTGCAGATTGTGTAAAACTAAAGAGAACATGTTCACACTGAAGGAGATGGATCAGCTGCTATTCCCAGTTCCAGCCAATTGCTGCTAAGGAGAATTAATTGCAAACCCAATATTCTAAGAACTAATTTTTCAAGATAAGATATCCAAAATTTTATTTGCATTCTCCTGATTTTTCTTTTCTAAATACAATGTGGACCAAACAAAACATTAGATTCTGTCCCAAGGTTATAACCTTTAAGCTAGAGGCTGAATGAATTCCTTGCATCTAATTGTTCCTGCATGCACTAGAGAGAGACAAGGCACTTCTATTCCTGCCAAAATGACAGAATAGATAGCTTAACCAACATGTCACCGAAAATTACAAACATTGGATAAAATCTTCCAAAATCTTTAAAAATTAATCAATAATCCTGAAGGAAAATAACATCTGATCAAGGCCTAAAAACTAAATAGAGAAACTAAAGAAGTATGCAGGGAACTGAAACCAGCTTTCATTCACCTTCAAGGCATTTTGCCAAACCCTATGAATTTCAGCTTGCACTTAGAAGGCCTAATGGGGCCCAAGGTACAAGAGGCAAAGTCCAGGTATTACCCAAGAGATAGCAAGGAAAACTTGCTTGCTTAACCTTGGCACTGAGTGCCAGCCAGGGGATGGGGGCCTATGATTGCAGTAAAACAGTATCTCCCCTGATACTGATAATCATAAGCTGACTCTCACCTAAGCTGACTCTCCCCTCTCACAGTTTAAAAAGCTTCATACTTAGAATTTTGTTTACAGTAGTCCTAGAATGGTATTATTCCCCACCTGTCCTTGAGAAAAACAAATGCAAATCCTCTCTGGGGAATCTGCCTTTGATCTAGGCCTAGAATTCCCAGATAAGGTACCAAAATAAATAAATTCACAATCAAAAATCACAAAACCCAGAAGGAAGGGGGGGATCACAAAACCCAGGAGGGACACCTGGATGGCTCAGCAGTTGAGCATCTGTCTTCGGTTTAGGGTGTGATCCCAGAGTCTGGGATAAAGTCCTGCATCAGGCTCTTCCAGGGAGCCTGCTTATCCCTGTCTATGTCTCTCACGAATAAATAAATTAAAAAAAAAAAAAAACACACACACACACAAAAGGAAACAAGCCACCTTAGAGTAAGATAAAGCTGAAGTATCAGTTTGCAGAACCAAAACCTCAAAGATCTCCAGATATGGTAATTACTAGACCCTTAAAAAAAAAAAAAAGATTTTATTTACTTATTCAATGAGAGAGGCAGAGACAAAGGCACAGGAAGAAGGATCCCTTCAGGGAGCCTGATGCGGACTCGATCCTAGGACCCCGGGTTCACAACCTGAGCTAAAGGCAGACACTCAACCACTAAGACAAGACACCCAGGCAACCCTACTAAAGCCTTTTTTTTTTTTTCTGTTTTACTTTATGAGTGATTAACTAACTCCTCTGTTTCAATTACCTGTATGACTCTCAAATCTGTTTCTCTAACAGGGATCAATCTCCAAACATAAATATCTAACAACATTCCATCCTGGAAAAAACAAATCTGTCATTCCAAAACAAAAATGATCATCTTTCTTTAATAAAGTTCCTATCATAAAATGACATAAGTCCTTTTACTTAAGAATGGCCTTTTAGCCTAACTCCTTTCTTTGCCTTTGTTAAAACAGAACACTTTCCATTTTTTGATTTCTATGAGAAATGACTTCTCTAAACACTCCTGAGCTCTTAACCCACTCCCCACCGAAGAGGTAAGTAACTTGATTACTGGGTAGAGCTAACTCGGGACTCTACATCAGGACTCCACAGGCAGTGATCTGGATGCACTGCTCTGTTGACCCTAACAATCTACGTATCAGATGGGCTGTCCCATGGTCTAGATTCGTAGGTAGGGATAAAAGAATGGAGAGTGAGCCAGCCCACTTGACTTTAAAATCTAAATCACATTCTGTAATATTCTACAACATCAGCTTTAGCAAAAACAAAGGTAACTCCTCCAAAAGTTACCATATGACCCAGCAATTCAATCCTATACACATATGTATGTATGTATGTGTTTATAGAAAAGAAATCCTCTTGGGGATGGATAGATGGACACACTCACACAGGTACATGTGTGTGCATGCCCAACAGAATTTAAAACATATATGTGCAAAAACTTGCATAGAAAAGTTCATAGCAGTTATTACTTAATATGGCCAAAAAGTGGAAATAAACCAAATGTTCAACATTATGAATGGACAAATGAAATGTGGTATACCACAAATGATATATTGTGGTATACAATATTCATATAATATACAATATTATTCAGTCATAAAAAGGAATGAAGACCTGTTACAAGATACAACATGGATGACCTTGAGAGCCTTATGCTAAGTGAAAGAAGTCAGACACAATAGATCACATATTTGGAAAACAGATTAGTAGTGACCAGAAGATGAGGGAACAGGGAGGGACTTCTATCAGGCTTTTTTTGGAAAGATGAAAGTGTTCTGGCACTCGATAGCAGTGACAGTTGTACAAATTTGTGAATAAAACCTTTAGTATAGAGGCACCTGGGTGCTCAGTCAACTGAGTGTCTGACCCTTAGTTTCAGCTCAGTCATGATCTCAGAGTCATGGGATCAAGCCCCACATTGGGCTCCATGCTCAGTGGCAGTCTGCTTGTCCCTCTCCCACTGCTCCTCCCTCCACTAGTGCTAATTCTCTCCCTCTTTTCTCTCTCAAATAAATATAAAAATCTCTAAAAAAAAAAAAAAAACCTTCAGTATAAAACCACCCAATTATATGCCTTAAAATGGAAACTTTATGGTATGTGAGTTTGTATCTCAATAAAAAACTATATTTAAAAACAGTAATTTTGGGATCCCTGGGTGGCTCAGTGGTTTAGCACCTGCCTTCGGCACAGGGCATGATCCTGGAGTCCCGGGATCGAGTCCCACATCAGGCTCCCTGCATGGAGCCTGCTTCTCCCTCTGCCTGTGTCTCTGCCTCTCTGTCTCTGTCTCTCATGAATAAATAAAATCTTAAAAAATAATTAAAAAATAAAAACTAATTTTTTTCATCTGTTGGTTCTCGTTAAACTCCTCAGTTCAAAATTCCCTCCTCAGGCCAGGGAAAAGGATCTTATATTTTGAGTTCCCCAAACATCAACAACCTTAGGACCCCCAATTAGTTACCATTTACTACCAACTCTAGCTCCCAGGTATCTTTCTGATTTGCTTTAGCCTCAATGCCTTAGTTTCAGTTTTTAATCTGAATTTTAATTCATTTTTAATCTAGATTACTCCTCCTAAATGGTGAACTCTAGGCTGGTTAACTGAAAGAACAAACATCTGCCAATCTTCTCTCTACCCAGCAAATGACCAGCAACATGGAAAGAAAAGAAGGCTAAAGTTTACAGTTCGGTCAGGAAAGCCCCAGTGTCCTCTGAATTACAAACTCACATTTCTGAAGCCAGCTATAGTTGAATATATTAATTCATTAATTTATATCCATAATTTATACAGTTTGAGCTAGTGTCAAAAGCACCTAGTAGAATTTTCTCCAAACCCTTTAAAAACCAACATACAAGTAGGTTTGTATAGAATGGCAACCGGAAAATGAGTGGTAAAGATGAATCATTCACTGATGAGTATGCTCCAATAGAAGCAACTGTACTCTATACCGTCACCAACACAAGATTAGGGAATTCCTTTTAAGATAAGCAGTCTTCAAGTGTATATTAAATTGAGTTACAGGGGCACATGGCTAACTCAGTAGAGCATGCAACCTTGATCTTAGAGTTGTGAGTTTGAGCCCCACAGTAGGCACAGAGATTACTTAAAATTTTTTAATAAAATATATGAGTTATAAAGTATTTACATTTAGGAAAATGTTTATCAGACTAACAGTAGTATAATAACGCATTATTTAGGAGCAGGAGGTGAAATGGGATGAAGTATTTTTAAAAAGCTCCCTAATTCTTATCTAATTTTCCCTCTCCCACTGACACAGAGATGTAATGCTTTATAAATTTACAAAGAACTCAACATTCACGACCTTGAGTCAAGACATAGATTGGAATACCAATAGTGACCTTAGGTATACTATTAATTTCTCTAAGGCTTAAATTCCTACTCTACAAAAAAGAAGATTCATGCCTCAGTTTCTCTGTGACTACAGCTTGAATGAAAGCATCAGCGTAACCTTAGAAAAAAGAACTACAAGTTTGTTTAAAATAAATGCTACAGCACTAGAGGTTAAGAGACTATTCCTTTTTTTTTTCCTACTTCTGAACTTAGACCTGTCTTATAAAAGACTTGAAAGTATAAAATTCACTAGCATCCATGAAGGAATAACCCCTTTGACTCATATTACTTAACTGAGCATTGTGACTTGTTATACCATTAGTCACAGGTAATTATTAAAGCAGTCAAAGAAATTGCCTATCTTAATCAGCCTGAACAAAAGAAATCTGCCAGAGGAAGGAGTAAAGAGAAAAGAATCCTGCTGAGTAGCCATAAGCTGCCCATCTCACCTCCACCTGAAGGTCTCTTGGAGCAGCTTGAGATAAAAAGTGAGATCTCAGAGTCCTATGCTCCAGAAAGCAATTAAAATCATGTGAGAATTGGGACGCCTGGGTGGCTCAGGAGTTGAGCGTCTGCCTTCATCTCAGGGCGTGATCCCAGGTCCAGGGATTGAGTCCCACATCAGGCTCCCTGCAAGGAGCCTGCCTTCTCCCTCTGCCTGTGTCTCTGCCTCCCTCTCTCTCTCTCTCTCTCTCATGAATAAATAAAATCTTAAAAAAAAAAATCATGTGAGAATGATCAATTCACCACGGGAGTATTAAAGGAAAACAAGAGGCCAAACATAACTTTGGAGAGCTCTGATAATTAAGAAAAGAGGAACTAGTTTAAAAAAAAAAATTTTTTTTTAAGAAAATTGTACCAGAGATGGCTGCAAGTGATTTAATGTGCAGAAAAAGCAATAATGCTACATGTTAAGATGGACACATACTGAAAACAGAATATTGGCTTTTATTAAAAGAGAATTAATAGTAAGAGGGTGGGTTTTGTGTTCTAGTGAAAACAAAAAAAATAGACTGCAAAAGGGTTAAGAATTAGGACTGGGTTTGAAGCTAAAATACAGGTTTAGCTACAAATTGAACAAAATGAAAATAAATGGGAAATGCAGTAAGGTCAAGCAGTCAGAGAGGAACAGATTAAGGAATCAGAGAAGGTGAATATATTACAACATTCATCACACTGCATCCCCCATTACCGTTTTCTTTACAGCTGATCACCAACAGATATGACCTGTTTTACTGTGTTTCTCTCCCAATGGAAAGCAGAGAAAAAGTTTGTTTCATTCTGTTACATCCCCAGAACCTGGTATATAGTTAACTGTCATGTTTGTTCAATAAATGAATAGAACAGGTTCCACAAGCAGTGAAAAAAGAGTACAGGTAAACTAAGAACAAAATCTGACTGAAAACTCACTAGACCTTTTAAATAAAATCTGTATCCATCAACTACGTCTCGCTACTTCAAGGCAAATAATTTAGGATCAATCTGCAGTTAAAAAAACAAGTATCCAGAATATATGAAAAACCCTTAAAACACAATAATAAAAAAAGTAACACAATTTAAAGTGGGCAAAAATTTGGAGATACAGCTCATGGGTAGAGCATCTGACTACAAAAATAAAAGGGCAAAGATAAAAGTTACTAAGATCTGTAAGTGTCCATTAAGCACATGAAAAGATTAATCATCAGGGAAATGCAAATCAAAACCACAATGAGATACCACTTCATACTCACCAGGATAACTATAATAAAAAAAAATAGACAATAACAAGTGTTGCAAAGGTGTAGAGAAACTGAAACTTATATATTGCTAGTGGAAATGCAAAAGAGCGCAGCCACTTCACAAACAGTTGAGCAGTTTACTAAAAAGTTAAACAGTTACCATATGACACAGCCACTCCACTCCTAGGGTATATACCAAAGAAATGAAAACATTCATGCATAGAAAAATCTATACACAAATGTTCATAACAGCATTAAATCTTAACAGCAAAAAAGTAAAAATCCAAATGCCCATTAGTTGATGAATGGATAAGTAAGATATGCCATATCCATACAGTGGAATAGTAATTGGTAATAAAAAGGAATGATACATGCTACAACATGATCCTGGAAAACATGCTACGTGAAAGAAAGCAGTCACAAGACTTCATGATTCCATTTACATCAAATGTCCAAAACAGGCAAATTTATATTAGTAGTTAGACTGTATATCACTGGTTACATTTAATAAGATTAGTAGTTTCTTAGGGTCTGAGGAGTAGGGGACTAAAGGGGACTGACTGGGTATGGAGTTTCTTTCAGAGAGAGGAAGATGTTCTAAAATTAGACTGCAGTGATGCTTACACAACCCTGTGAATACATTAAAAACACTGAATTTCACACTTTAAATAGGTGAACTGTATATGAATTCTATCTCAATAAAGCTTCAAAAAATGAGAGAAGTTTAGAACTCCATCACACAAATGTTCTTAAGTTCCTGCTTCCCTCGCTAGTGCCACAGGAGCCACCCCCCCCCCAAACTGGAACAGGAAAGGTAGAGTAAAAAAGTAATGACTTCACCAGAAAGCAATGCTACCACAGCAATATTTTCAAATATATAACCCCTGAATCATTAGTGGTTCAGGAAAGTTTGTTTTCTGGTGAGTTCCACTATTTCCAAACTGTATCATCTATTAATTAAACATGTTTAATGAAGATACCCTTACGGTTCACAAAAAAAAGTTTTATACAAAATTCTACAGAAAATTCTACTAGTATCTACAAATCAACTACTTAGGTTAACTGCCACTCTCCTCCTAAAACAAGGACAGGTCTTGTTGTTCTCTAA